CAGCAGTTTTCCAGGTCCAGGGATGAGAGGGAAAATTACAAGGACTTAAATATATGGCAATTAAGGCTTTGATTAAATATTAGGGGGAAGCTGGTAGTAGGGCTAATATTCCACAGTCTGGATTTAGGATACAGTTAATCTGTCACTGGGGGTAGTTAGAATCCTCAGGTTGCTTTTGGTGTCTCATTCAGTTCAACTTTTGCCTAAAATTAAGGCCCAAATTATCCAAATATGGTGCATATGTGCGTAGCTCTATGCCCCCACTAACATCTGCTTTCTCTTCCATGATGCAGTTGAAGAGGGTAATTAAACTTGACATACACAGGTGGAAATGTTTGAACCTATTTAGCTTGAAGAGGTTATAAAAATGCAGGCTCTTCAACTTTGCCATGTGAGTAGAATTGCTGTGCTTTGTTTCATTTTAACTAGAAATCACATCTCTTAAAACACCCAAAACAGTTAAGAAGGGCTTCTGTATCATATGCACAGTTTGATAGAGCCAGGAAGAAGAAAGGAGCTTCAGCTGTAAGAATAACTTCTTTTTTTTCCTCCAGACTTAGAAATAATTGGTAGGTAATTTTGAACTTCATTACTCACACTTTATTCTGTGATAGACTTGACTTAAGATGTCCAATCTGAATAATGCTATGACTTTCAGTTGTTACCTGAGATCAGATTTCCAGTTGTGAGGTAAAATAGCTTTCTTCTTCTTGCAGATGCATAAAAACTGACTTCTCTTGAATTTTTATCTATGCTAATTGCTCTATCTTATAGACCTAAGAAGAAAACTGTTTTGTTTTCAGGAAAGAACTGCTTATGATACAAATCAAGCTTTCTGTGCAAGTCCTGGAGACATTGAGGTTAGAAGCGTTTTCACATTTACAGTGTCTGAAAAAGAAATATGTATAACTCAAAGCCACTTCTCTTCCTGTGTGTAGCTTGAAAACTGAGCATATTTTGGTGTATCAGTCAGCTCTTGTAGTCTCTAGTGCTGAGTCTCCTTTTAATGTTAGAAAAACAAATATCTTTGCTTGTTGCTGGTAACAAAACCAGAGATCTGGCAAAAGCTGTTGTAACACTGGAGCTCTTTGTTGAGTGCATTTGCTTTCAGCTGTTTTGGGGTGCTCCTCTGAACATCCATCAGTGGTTTCGGTGCACAGAGGAAGGAAAGGGGGTGGAGAACAGCCCCCAGTTTTCTTTAAGGAGAGATAATTAAATAGTAAGACTGCTTCTCATCTTTTAAAAGCAGTTTACTTCCTGGTGTCTCTCTTTGATGGTTGCTGAAGAGGTAAGGACATCATTTTACTCTGTTCTGTATGACATAGCACAGGGGGATGCATTTTTGTTTACAGGCATGGGGTTTTTTTCAAATTAGAAAAGGTTTAATGGAAAAACCATACCCGCAACTTAGTTGTTTGTGTTGGGTTTAATTATTTGGTTTTATTTTTACTCTGAATTCTGGGGTGGGAAGTTATTAATATTAGAGTGTTAATTTTGGTAAAACATTATCAAAGAACTTAATAATTTTAATGTGTATATGTAGGCATGTAAAAGCTAAATTGTTGCAGCTAGGTAGTACTAAATAACACTTGTAATTTTCTTAACTAAGAATGAATTTATGTGATTGGTCTCAGCAGAATAGAAAATGGCCACAAATTGCAGTAGCTTTTGGGACTAATTTTACTCTAAACCTTCTTAATCTGTTCCTCACTACTGATGTGTCACAGTCATCTTCTGGGTTAATGGATAAAGTTATCCCATTATCTTAAGTAAATGAAGACTATGACTTTAGAAGATATGTTAATTTATAATTATTTAATTGCCATTGTTTTGTTGAAGCTTAAGGATCTGAAAGGAGATCAAGTAATGCATTACTTGTAAAATTACTTTGAGGAAAATCTTGCTAAGCCAGTCATTTTTAGTTTAAAAGCTTAGGAAAGAAGCTGTTTTTGCAAACTTAATCTAGTGTAAGGTATGCTTTTTCCTTGATCTTCAGTGACAGAACTACATGCTATTTTATCCTGATAGGAAAAAACCATGTTTTTTTTGAGGCTGTACTCTGTGAATGCATGAATTTCTCTCAAAAAGGGTAGCCCCATTCGTCATCCCTTATCCCTTAGAATGGCTTTGGGATTTGTTATGATATTTTCAAGAAGTTACTGATCCATCTGCAAGGTGCCTGACCCTGCATTAATTTAAATACAAAATGTAATAAAAAATGATAAATATATAATTTAAGAAGTGTTTCAACAGAATCTTTTTGTGAACATTGTGCTGAAAAGGAAGAAGCATTGTGGTATTTACTAAAGAGGTTGCTGCTACTTTTGGTTTTATGTAGAAGATGGTCAGCTTTGAGGTTAGCTGAGTGCAAAGCAGCTAGCTAGCTGGATTCGATGGGTGAACATGAAAGGAGGGCATCCCTGAAGGTTTATGAGGTTTTTCCTGTCAAAGAGAGTCATTACTGAAAACACTTCTTTATTACTGCCAAAAAACTGCTCTATTGCAGACAGCTTTGGTGTAAGAGAAGTTCTCATTTCACAATGGTAGAGAACTTTTCAGTCCAATTTGAACACCTCTGTGAAACAATTACGAGTTCAAGTTTGTTGTGGGGCCAAGGATTAGCTCTCATTTTGGGGGTTGTAATACTTTTAATACTTTTATAATACTTTATTTATTCTTAAAGCTACCTCATCATTCAGCTAGATGTATTAAAAAAAATTTGAGGGAGATGTCAGATAGCAACTCTTTCTGTACTTGCTTAACTGCAGGTGTTGCTCTTTGTAACTATTTTACTGTGGCACATTCTTAATAGCTCTATTAAGACATTAATGTATTTTCTGTAAGATCACCAGAGCAGAGTTTTATTGGATCCACTTAGTATTGTCTGTCATGCAGTCAGTTGCTGCTTTACTGGGATTTTCTGGTGGTGTTCTGGATACGCCTGAAATCCTACAAGTTTATGGCAAATGTAGCTTTCCCTGTAATGGATGTTTTGGTGCCCTGTGTAGGGCAGAGACACCAGAGTTTGTACTGACTCCTCTTTAGGTTATGCTGACTTAAATGGAGTCGATGGTTTTAAACATGCTCATCAATCCCAGGAGGTATTCATAAGGTAAAAGATGAAAGCAAGTGAAGGATGCAGGGGCCTTTGAAAATGACCTATATTGTGTAAAAAAAAAAAAAAATTGCTCAGCCTTTTTGTGTTTCAAATGCGTAATTTCCTGTGAAATTGCAGTTGGTAAGGAAATAAAACATGACTATGCCTATCTCTGTCTCTCTTGTTTCCACAGGAAACCAATCTTTTTTGTTTTTTCTTGAACACAAGCTTCTGTGAAATGGTTTGTCCTTTTGGTGTCTGTTGAAGGGTTTCATGAAAAAATCCCCACACACAAATGGAATGCAACCTGTTTATGTAGACATGTTTTCACCCTCTACTTTTTCTGGTGGAAAATTAAGTAACTTAATTGGGGCAAGCTGCATGTAAATTCCCTGCACTGACAAAAATGCATTCTCACTATATAGCTGAAGTTTTAGTGGGTTCATTTGGTGGCTTAGCTGTTTGTTTTAAATTTAAACCTTAGTATTTGAAAATAATGATCCAGCAATGCAGAAGTTGGTCAGATTCTCAGCTGAGGTCCATCAGTGAAGCATCAGTAACTGCTTTGGGAAAACCTTGCCCTTCTGTGCCAGTGTCTACACCTGCCTAGAACTTGGCCTTGTGTATCTACTTCAGATAAAGTCTGAAACACTTCAACCAGTTTTCATATACCCATCTTTATTATTGGTGTACCATAAGTGGACTTGCTTTACATTTCTAGTAATATGCACTAAATCTTAGACAGCAATATCTAAAATTAATATGGTGTGTAAGCTGGTTTAGCTTGAATAATTGTGTTCTTTCTTGACTCTGTTGCAAAGTATATTAAAATTACTTTGCATTTTAGTGGAGTTTTGCAAAAGTGAATGTCACAGCGTATATGCAAACTACAGTTGTGATTCTGTTTCAACTTTATACTTGCATATATTTGCACTTTATCAATTTGGGACCAAAATCATTAGTACACTGAGCTGGAAATAGTATATATCTTAACATTTTGGTCTCTCTGTGTATTAGCAAAGATAATAGCATTATTTGGTATCAAACTGTTTCTCTGGACTTAACAGACACAGGTAATTGATGGAAGTGACTTAGAGGTCTTTTCTTTTTTCCTCTTAATCTTGTGATGTCTTTTCAACAAAATGAGATTGTAAGGGGCCATTTTTTCTCAAAAATTTTGTCTCAAGCAGTATGGTAGTCATGAGACCTGTAGGCCTGTTTTGAAAACTAATGTAAGCTTTTTTATTGCTTGTTTTATGTTGACTGTACAAAAATATGAAGGTATGTGCTTGAGTGCTATGGACAATATGGTGAGCCTCTCTGAAGAACAGAACTGTCTTAAAACCTCTCCTGTGTCTGAATTAATGCATGAAAGGTTTGAGTATAACAAAATGTGTTCTTCAAATTTTTTGAAATGTCTTGAGAAGGTGAGATGAGATAATGTTTGGTTGTTGTTTTGTTTTTTCCCTTAGGCCCAGAAACTCCAAATCTAGAAGAGCAAATAAAGAAACCCAAACCATTTCTGCCACTCCTTTACACCATCTCTTGATGAATTGTCCCTCCATCTGGTGTCAGTTCAAGCCCTATCTGGAGCATTGCTGCAAGCTCTCATCTTTTTTGGAACTGCTTTCAGTGGAAAAAAGAAAAGAAAAGGAAGTTAAAGGACTTATGAAAAAGTCAAGACTGCTGTGTCCTTGATAACTGTTCATATTCCCTGTGTAGCAGAGACACTTGATGATCTGTGTGAAGACAAAGTTATCTTTCTTTTCAGGGGTATGACACAGTGAAACTCATCAAGTAAGAGCACAGGCATTTAGGAAACAGCCAGACCAGCACTCTGGATCTAGTGGAGCCCATAAAACAGGAGTTTATTTAACTAGTGAAATAGTGAAATTTGGCAAAAATGGCCTGTGAATTTAATCTGAACTTCCTTAAGGAATTAGAACGAGAGGCTGTTCTGGAAGTCCTATACCGTGACCAGATGGTGAGGAAAACGGAGGAGGAAAGAATAAGGTAATGCTGTTCCCCTATTCCTGTTTTCTGTTGCGTTTTGGTTTGGTTTGGTTTTTTCCTTCTAAATTACTCTTCTTCCACTTGTTGTCCTAAATGTACTCCTCTTATAGCTTCTTGTTAGCTAATGCCTTTTTAATCTCTGGAAAAATCTAAGGTTATCCAGAGCCTCTTGTTTTTGCCATTCTATTGACTCTACATTAAAGATCAGCAAATCCTGTTCACTGAATAATGTACTTTGTGAATTTTACTTCCAGCTTTCATAGAAAGTTCAGTTGCTGGCTGCATTTTTTCTGTGAAGGCTTTATGGCATTCTCATCATGTTCCTATGTATGCATATGTGTAGTCTTGGTAACATGGAACATGTTCACATCTTAGGCTGGCTTATTTAGCTTAGATTGTGCCAAGACTGGAGTTTAGAATCATTGGATACCTGCTCATTGTGCTGAATCCATCACTGCTGCTCCTCACACACAACAGGCAACAAGCACACTGCTCTGCCTTGGAGGTTGTTACTTGTGTCAAAAGGTGTCATTGGTTAGGAAAGGATTTTATTTACTACAGAGTAATTTCATACTCTGCCAGTATCTCACCTGGCAAGGATAAAGGATAATTTTCCAGCACTTTGTTTTATGTCTTGGCCAGAACCAGGATTTCCTAGTACCTTGTATCCTGCTTTGTGATGTTGCATCCCCCTGTAAAACTGGGTATTGGTGTGGATAAGATATAAATTTTTAGTCCCTTAAATGTGGAAATTTAAATTTTGCCTACACCAAACATTTATATAAGGATAATGGGACATATTAAACATAAAACAATCGTAATTATGTGAAGGGCTATATAGAAAGTCTGAATTGGTTAGAAAATCCTTTTCAACTGCTGCTGATGTTACTAATAATTAAAAACATAGATCTTGATTATTGGTTCATGCAATGGAAGCAAAGTTAATGACAAGGAAAGGTTTTGATATTTTAGGCTGTGTGCTGTTTTGGTTTTTTAGCTTTCAGATGATTCATTTTTTATGATTATTTTTTTTCTCAGTAGAATATTTAATTCTTGGATAAATATGGTTTTAAAAAAATAAACGGAAGAGGGCACCATCTAGTCTCAGTTTTTGGAGGTAAATGCATAATCACTTGCATAAAATTATTTCAGTGTGGAAAATGAGCCTGAAATGAACAAAACCCTATTTATACTAAATTGTTTCTCGGTTAGTATGCACAGTTCTGGTCACAGTGCAGAAGTGCTATGTGTGCACCTTTTGAAGCAGTGCTCAACAGAGGTCACACTGGAGGGCATATCTCCCACTAGAAATGGTATTGCACAGCCAGGGCATTGCTAACTTGTGCTTTCCACGAGGATTTTATCCTCTGTAATTTTTTTTTCCTTTTTACCTGTGGAATTAGGAGAATGAAGCAGCAGCTGCAGCAGCTTCGGTGGAAGGGGGCGAAGAGCACAAGGCATGAGTACCAGGAGAGGTGCTGTGCTCGCTGCCAGAAGTCTCTGGGGCTGCTGGTGAACAGAGGCGCCGTGTGCAACGGCTGCAGCCACCGCGTGTGCTCCGAGTGCCGCGTCTGCCTGAGCCCCTGCCTCTGGAAATGCACCGTTTGCTATGCTCATGGGTGAGCAATTCTGCCTGCCTGCAAAGCCACTGCTGGAGTGAAATGTTGGCTGAGGTCCTGGTGGTGATGGAATGGATGGAAATTTTGGGTTGTTCTGCACATAGCTGATGTTTCCCTTCCTGTGTTTAGCAAAATGGAGCCTCAGGGTAGGCCAGAGGTACTGTGAGTGTGACAAAGATGATAATAACAAAGCATAGAAACAGTCATGAATCTGAGCCACTGAGAGAGCTCCTTCTTAAGAAAGAAAAATCTCTAAATACAGGAGCTAAAGTGATATCCACAAGTGGGCAAGGCGACAAAACCTCTGGGTCTGCCATTTCACCTCACCTTATTCTGTGTCAAAACAAACTATAGGTAGGATGCTTTTGGTTCTGTCACTTGATTTGAAAGCCTTTTAGGTATTTTAATGACATCTTTGTAAGTAGCAATGCAGACAATTAAAAAAAGAATCAGCACTCATATAGACTGTACAATTTATTTTCATACCTAACCAGCTCAGTATTGAACCAGTGCATCCTCACAACCTGCTGAAGGTGCTGTGCTTTGATGTAGTATAGCAAATTTCTTGACAATTTCCTCATCATTTTCTGCCTCTTACCACTGGAGCAAGAAATCTGATTGACAAATAAATTGGAGTCATGCTTTATAAAATTTCAAAGGGCAAAACCAATTAGTAATCTTACTAGGATTTATTCAAGTATGGTCAGAAATACGATTTTTTTTTTTACTTTGAATTAGTTGGTTTTTTTTCTTTTACTACATCACATGTTTGTATTTCAGGATTCAGGAAACAATCTTTCTTTTACTGTATTGGTACTTTTTTTTGATATCACAATATTCCTGCCATGTCTGTTCTATTAATTGCAATCTTTCTAAGCAAAATGGTTTAGAGATATTTTCCCATTTGATGAAAAATAATACGTAGGTGAAGAATGATAGTTTGTGAAATTGTTCAAAAGCTCTGCAGGGTGATAAATAACCCTATAGAAAGGGTGAGGATTTGGATGAAAATTTATTTTATGCCAACACATGATGAATCCACCACTCCACTCCCTCTGCAGGTGCCAAAAGGAGATTAAAATGGAGGGAAATACAAGGCAAAGTATTGGTCTCAAGTCAAGCAAATTTGTGGTAGTTTGAAGTAATTTTTTATAGTTTGGAAGAGAATTGTAAACTATTGCAAACAAGATATTCTCTGAATCTTCAGTTTATTTAGCAACTAATATGCAAAATAGGTAGTTCAGCTATATTTATACTTGATACAAAATATTTACTAGATTTTGATTTGTGTGTTTTAAGCTGTATGCACTAAACTGAAAATTCAAAAGTTAACTTCCCATATCCTTGTCCAGATAACCCTCCCCACTTCCTCTTGTTTTAAATTAGTTTCTAGTTATTTGGTGGCCCTATAGAGTCCTTGGTTGTTAAGCTGCTTTGTGTAGTGCTGCACACCCTTAATTACTTAATTAGCTTGTCCAGATATTCAATGGTAAAACCAAGAAAACGTTATCAAGATTAATTAAAAGACCTTTTTACTTTTCCTGCAGGAAATGACCTTTTTTTTAATCTTGCTAATACAGATGGATATGCCAGCTGTCATTAAATTTCTCTTTATTGTGAAGAGAGAGTACATTTGGTCTTTAGTCATGATGTAAAATCAACTAAATTCAGACTTCTTCCATTGCCTTAAGTGAGCTTAACATCAAAACTGCAAATCTCAAGAAGGGTAGGGAGTGCAGCAATGTGGTAAATGGTACTCAGCCCCTTTTGTTTATCCTGGTGAGTGGAAAATAGGATGGCTAAAAATGGTAAGAGCTAATTTCCAAGTCCCAAATAACTGTAATTTTGGGTCTTGCTTATCACTAGAATAATTTTTTCCTGAACCAAACAGCAGCAGCAGCACTATGGGGGTTCTCCCTTAGACACTGGGGTCATGTTTGCAAGGAATGTGCTTAAACACCTCAGTGAAAGAGCATGTAGGGACAGGCAAATTTTGTATTTCTTACAAAATAAGAAATTTTGAAATGTGAACTGAAAAAGTTTGTATCTTTCAACTGGAAGAGGCATTTTTTTATGTCACTTATGTGAATGGAGTTGGTATAGCATGTTGGTTTTTTTTTTAAAGGAATCCTATATTCTAGGAGTCTAGAAAGATGTTTGTTTTGGAGGCGTTTGCTGACAAAAGGTCTTTATTAGCTTTGTTTTCGTACTTTTGGTCATACCTTAACTCAATACATTCTTTATAAAAAAAAAGTATTTTCAATCTGTATGTGGCCTAATTATCATAGAATGGTTTGGGTTGGAAAGAACCTTAAACATCACATGGGTTCCATCCACCCTGCTAAGGGCAGGGACACTTTTCACTAAGACCAGAGCCCCATCCAGCCTGGCCTTGAACACCTTCAAGGAAGGCATGTCTGGAACTTCTGTGAGTAGATTCAATTATCATGTGGATCTGTGCAGAAGTGGAGATGAAACTCTGGAACATAACCAGGGAGAGGTGGGAATGATATAAAGGGGGGCCTGGGGTTGAATGGAAGTTAAGCACTAGCAATGCAAAGCCCTTGAAGGTAGAGATTTCAGTTATTTATTAATTAATAGATCTCCATCCAAATGAAGAAGTATCTTGTCTCAGTTATTTAAACCTAATTTTCAGACTCATCTGTGTTCAGTTATGCACAGGGGTCTATGGTTAGGTATGAAAATTAATTGTACACTCTAGCTGGGTGCTGATTTTTTTTTTAATCTGCATTGCTGCTTACAATGTCATTAAAATGCCTAAGATGCTTTAAAATCAAGTGACAGAACCAAAAGTATCCTACCTATAGTTTATTTTGACACAGAAAAAGGTGAGGTGAAATGGCAGACCCAGAGGTTTTGTTGCCTTGCCCATTTGTGGCTATCACTTTAGCTCTCACATTTAGAGATTTTGCTTTCTTAAGAGAAGGTAAGCCCTACATGAATTTAAAGTTTGTATGCTATTGCCACTGTCAAGCAATTTTGGTAGAGGGAATGGTAATAAAGTGGTTAAGTTTATAGAAAGAAAATCATCAACTGGGTAGACAAAAAGTTTAGCAGTGCCTGCACTGAGGAAATCTTTGTGGTGAGACTCCATCTTATAGTAAGCATCACAAAATTGGCAAGGAAGGGAGATATCATATATGCCCTAAAAATTAGTAAGACATTTAGATGAGAATTTGGAACCTGAAGGATCCAGAGAATCCTATCCTCAGTTCAATTTTTTTTTGTCTTTTTAATAATGGGTGAGTTTAAGTTGCAAACTTCAGGAAAAGTAATATTTGTTGAAAATCTGATTGTGACAGAGCTGTTTAATCTGATATAATCTTGTACTTGCTAATCATTACTTTTCTGTTCCTGTGATCCTGGTGCCTTTGTAAGACATTGATGTAACTGATGGTAGTCTCCAGAAAATGGGGAGATGGGCCATGAAGCCCCAGTGCTGCCAGGGCTGTGGAGCTCAGTGCCCCCTGGTAGCCATCCTGAGGTCTGCTAGGAGCCATGTCCTCTACCATGGATATTCCTGACTTCTCAGACGAGGTTGCAGCTGTAAGCAGCCAGCTCCCCACTCAGCACAAGTGCCTGGGCTGCTTTGTAAGTTGGTTGTGCAGACTGGAGTGCACCCAGGGCTCTCCTGCCTTCAGAGCAATGGCCAGAGCAGGGTGTATCGCTTTCCATGGCCAGTCCTACACTGCAAAAGGGAAAAGAAGCTATCAAACAAAACCCCCTCCAAAACCAAAACACATGTCCCCAAAGGATTCCTCCCCTCCGTGTTTTTTTCAGACCCATAGCAAAACCAGTCAATAGATTGAGTAGTCATGAAATCTTAGTTTTACAGAAAGATTAATAAACAATGTTGGATTGCTACATGGTAACTAAACATTTAAAGAAATGCACTTGTAAGCATTTTGATTCTAATCTCTTTTGATTGTTTTCCAGAGATGTGAAAGTGAAGGCTGGTGAATGGTTCTTTGAGGAACGAGCAAAGAAATATCCAGGTGAAGGTAATCACTGGAACAGATCATAAACTGCTATGTAATGTGTAGTTGTCATCTAAGTCAAACACAGAATGTAGTCTGACACTGTATCCAGTGTTTCTTCCATGCAGTCCATCTGTCTGTGCAGTAAATAAAACATGAACACAAATTAGCAGAATGCATTTGAAAGTATAATTATTTTGTTGGAGTAATAAAAATAAGAATATTGCTGGCCATATTTGAATTAAATTTGAATCCATGAGCGTGTAAGACTTCTAAGAAATACAGTGATGTGAAATTAATATAGAAATGTTATAGGTACAGGAAGAAAATGATCTTGCATTCATCATTTGTCAAAGTTTAAACTTCAGTTGCTTTCACTGAGGAAGTTCTAAAGTTTAAAGAGAAGATAGAATGGAATAACCCCCCTCCATGTATAGCTATAAATCAGCAGAGAACTAAACATTTTTGTTACCTTCAGCCAGCTGGCTGTGCCATTGCCTTTTGCTGGGCCTTTTCAGAGCCATTAAAAGTACAAAATTCTAAAAGAAATTATAGAGGATGTGGATGGAATGCTCTATGGAGAATGTGTTTTGTTCACAAAGGAGCTATTAGTGTTCATTTTCACCTACAATAACTAGCAAGGTGAAGAAGACTTGTTTTTTCTTTCCCTTGAAGTGCCGCTTCACGTAGGTGAAGTTTTGAATCTACTGAGTTTTGTACTTGACTGTAGTTAAATGATACAGTTTCACTTCCAGTATCTGCATCTATGTTTGAGAGTAGTTGGTAAAAGGGAAAGAGCCAGGCCTTAAACCTCTATTGGGAAGCTTGAATAGGAAGAATTTTATAAAAGGAAGAGCATAATCAGGCAAATTTTGGGTGGTAGGTGTTTGTGAAAGGCAGCAGGCAGCATATTAAGCAACTAAACTAAAGTTTAATTTCCTGTTAAAGTTTTGTTTTCCTGTTAAAACAATTCATTTAAAATTTGAAAGATTTCACTAAAGTGCCTTCCAGATAACACAATTTTTGATTTTAAAGTGTTAGTTGACTGATCTTTTTAAAGCACAATTTTATCCAATAACCATTGACAATTTTCACTCATTCTTTTCAATGAGTATGAAGCTGGTAGTTTTATCAATCTCTATTAATAATATATTATTATTGGAAAATGTTGTTCTTGGATATCGAATCTCATAATGCAAGTTACTGACGGTCTCTTTTTCCAGCAAAATAAATCAGCTCTCACTTTGAATTATGAAAGCTTTGTGGGTTCTGGAAGCATTTTGCTTAGTTGGTCTAATGGTAATGCTGTTGACGTCACAAAGATCTAAGGATATACAGAAGATAAACCTGCAGGGAGAAATATGTTTTGTTTAGTTCCTTTGATTAGACCAACTGATATATTTAAAGGAGTTTAAAAAGTGACAAATTTTGAAACACAGCAGCCTTTATGCAATCTTCAATGCTGGAGGGACAGTGCCCTCTTTTGGTTTGAAAATATAACTGAAGTAATTGCTAGAAGGTAAGTTGAACTGAAAAAAAATTTTTTTATAGTGAAGTTTTCTCATGTTGTGTAGTAAAAAAAATATAAACACATTTGTTATGCTTATGCTTTTTAATAATGTTTTTGTATCTTCTACCTAAAGAATGAGATTAATATTTTCCCTAAAGTGGTAGATTACTTTTCATGACTAATCAATTTAAAATCTAAGATAGCAAGTGTTATTTTTCAATAAGAGAGAATACTGGAGTTCTGATTGAAAATTCTAACATCCTTGAGCTGTTATTGTTTCTACCACTGCTAAGGTCTATTACTTTCATGTAAGTAATCTTATAATTAATGACAGTAAAACATGGATCACATGTTGCTTACTGTATCAGGAATTACTAGTGATTAAAGTCACTCCAGATAATTTCAGTTCACCATTTTTTATATTTGTGATCCCCCAGGAACAAACAACAGTTTTATGACTCTTCATTGTTGATGCCTGATGGAGCTCTTGCTCCTTGGTGTCTCCACATCCTGTGGCTGCTCAGCTCAGGGATGTGCCATGGTTGCTGTTTCCCTGCAGGGATGCTCTTAGCAAAGGCTCTCGCTCATGTTTGTGAGCTAGTCAAGCATTTTCGTTGTTGCTCAGGTCTCTGGTAGGAAGAGTGAGAAAAATTTTCATGAGGTGCAAGAGTTGACCATGTGCCTATTCTTGTAGAGATTTTCAGGCTTCCCTTAGTGTTTGAGTTTTGTGGCTGAAGTGTGCTTTAGCACAGTGGGCCCATGCACCGCCTGCCTCCTGGACCCTGGGAGGCTGACAGCCCTTGGAAACCTAGGAATGGGCATGTTGGCATCTCTGTGTGATTGTCCTTAGCATCTGTGAAGAGTTATCTGTGTGTCACCTGCAACAGGAGAAGGTGGAATCATGGTACAGTGTGAGATGCAGGAGACTCTTGTGCGTTGCTTGGTGTGTGTGCTCATACATTAGCTGGGAATTTACTTCATTCCTGACTTGTGTAAGGCCAGTTCCTGAAAGGCACTGGTTTTAAAAAGTGTTATACAGGCACAAGTAACTGATGTTGCTACTAAATTATCTGGGTTTTTTTTCCTCCTTCATAGGCAGACATGAAACAGTTGGTGCAAAGCTCTTGGAATCTTACCAGAATCTGAGGTAAGACTCCTAAAAGGACAAACAGTCCTGGGACACGGCAAGTTTGTATGGCTGATATATTTTGTTAAAAACCAACCAGTAGTTTGTATTCCTTTATTATGAAAAAGAATCAGTACTTTTGGAGTTCAAATGATAAAAGCATAGAAAAATTTTCACTTTTAGCTGGCAGCAATCCACAGAATAGGTCTCACATATAACAGAGAGTAAGTATCATGTTTGGAGTAATAGTGTCTTCCTTGAAATGAAGGGATGTGCATTGTCTTTGTTTTATCTGCTTATATTTTTTGCTTAACTATTTATACAATTATCTGTTAAATTTGCCAAATGCTTCTAAATTATTGTAGATGAAAGTTATTTTCTAGGTGTCATAACAGCATCATTATTTGTTCAGTGGGAGATATTGCTGATATGACAGGTTTACAATAAATGGTAGACAAGAAGTTAGACACTTCCACTTACCAAACTTAAAAAAAAAATTAAAAATCCAGTTTACAGTGAATAAATACTTTGACTGGAGGGCAATAAATGACCATACTTAACTTATTACCAGTGATATATTATGAAGTAACAGTCTGGTTATTATGTTATGAAAGGAGCCTCTGCCTTAAAATAAACCAAACCAAAAGCTACAACACCAAGCAGCAACAAAAACAACTACTACCAAAATCCAAACCAACCAAAAAAAATCCCTAAAAGGCCTGTGTAAAATAAGATATGAAGAGATGATCTCAATTTATTATAATTGTCTGGCAAGGCACAGCTGCCTAAGAAAGAAACTTATATTCAGTTGGATAAGATCCTAACCAAGACTTGCTCTTACCTGGATGTGATAAAAATTAAAAAAGAATGAAGAAGCAAGTTCACCAGCTACCTTAGGATCTGTGATTGTGCTGTGATAACAGAATCGGGCAGATTTTTTTTTTTTTTCCACAGACCAGGACTATTTACCACAGATGGAATGGCAGGAATGTTTAAAGGGTCTTTAACACTTCTGAACCCAGGCAAGGAAGGATCCTTCTAGTATTGTAAATAAAGATGACTACCTTTTGAAAACATCTCTGAGCAAGACATGGGATGCATTTTACAGCAATTGTGTTTTAGGATTCAGGACACAGTCTGTGATACTCCCAGCCATATAGAAGTCTAGGGAGTTTATCCTAGATTTGGTCTTCCTGATGGTTCTAATTTAATAATTTTATCTGGAGCACCCCAAGATTGAGAAGGTAGAGAGGTAGTTCTGATTCCTAAGAACAGGCAATAAACCTGTGCTGCAACTCTGACAGACACAGGATGTTGACCCAGACCTTTATGGAGTGCAGGAAACATGGGTAATGAAGATATGGTACATGGACATAGTTTATTTATTCATGTGTTGGCATCATATATTAATTATTGCACTTTTTATCTCTTAATTTCTAGTAAAATTTCTGTTGTACCTCCAACTCCACCTCCTTTCACAGAATCACCAGCAGGAACCAACGTGGTGGGTAATGTATGTATCTGCAGAATATACATATGAGTGCATCCCTTAAGGTGTCATTCATATGAAAAGGTCAGCCACAGAAATGTGGTAAATAACTGCTGCAACATCCCTCTGCAATATAAATGCAGCCTTTTGCTACTTTGTCATTATTTTTATGCTGCATGGGTACTGGGAGAGAAAGTTTAGAGGCTATGAGGGATGTTTTCAATTATTTTTCAGTTTTTGAGGGAAGTGGTTAACCACTCTGCTTGAGATTAGAATGTTGCATCTGGTTATGGTGCCTCATCACAGGAAGACTGGACTGAGATCTGAGTTCCACTCCAACCTGAAGGATCCTGTTTTCCTGTGACACTCAGTGGTCACATGTCGCTTTCATTACTGAGTGAGAAACAGTGAATTTGATGGCTGCCTTTGCATTCCAGTTTCTGGTGGGCAGAATAGTAGAACATGGCTTGAAACTCACAGAAATTGCACGAAATTACTGTTTTGTTTAATTTTGGACTGGCTCCTCAGGCTCTACCCTGGTTTTGAAGCCCATTGCAGTTTTGTCGGCATTCTTATGTACGTACCTGGAGTTTGATGAAAACTCTTTGTTCTGTAATAGATAAAGGTATTAAATACCTTACCATAAATCAGTGATGTAATTAGCTGTATTTATGAACTTATGATGTGATCTTTCTGTGAGGAGTTCTGCTTATATGTGAAAGACCACGGAACTGAAAAGATGGCTTTCCATACATCAATGTATGTCCTCAGATGTATTTGTCTACAGAAGTGAGCAAAAGACTGCAGCTTTACCATCTGATTGTTATGTGGTCTGTAGATATGTAATCATGGCAACTTTAAATTTACAAATATTTTGAATTTTCTTACTCTTTGCATCTCCCATTTGCAGGAACTTGGAGAGTCTAAAAGGTTTAATAAATCTGTGGAAAACTTGTTTTTGTCTCTCACAACACATATAAAAAGTAAGTAGCTTTCACTGTCTTGTCATTCCAGGATAATGTAGTCAAATGTTTTGATTTTTTTGGCCACAGTGTTGGCCAAGAAATTGCTATAAAAAAGGCTATCAAGTAATGGCTGAAACTATTAATGCCAAGGTTGTGCCAACCTGAAAAATAATACAGGAAATCTAATTTTCCTTAAGTATTCTGCCAGTTGTTAAATAAACTGATTCTGTCAAACTAAAACACCTTTCTTGTAAAGATGTATAAAGACTGTGTAATTTTTCTTTTCATTTACCAGGTATTCAGATCCAGTATGTTTAATTCATGTTAGAGTAATAACCAATTTCTGATCTTCATGTTATCTGGCCACACCCCAGATGACCTGGTTAAGGAGTCTGTCATTTAATAGGAGTTTAATATTTTCATTCACCGGCAGTATTCATGAGGACTTCCTTCCTGTTTCTCAGTCTAATTGTGTGGAATTTTTCAGTGTACATTTCTAAGTGCTTTCCAGTCCTGGCAACTCCTGTTCCCTTCTGATGCTTTTGGTTCCTTTCATTCTCTTACACTGCCTGCTGTTCCTAGGGATGCTGACTGTGTATGCACCTCTAAGGCTGACTACACTGAGGACAGTCAGCCTTTGTGAAAAACAAAGGCATCAGTGACCAGAGGAAAACAACTTCTGAGCTTTAAGAAGATTACAGGGGCTTGCAAATTTGCATGGATTTGAACAAACTGTAGTATTTTCTTACTAGCTTCAACTTACACAGCCCCACATGTGAGATTAGACCTGAACAAATCTGGCTTCAGTGCCTTTCTGCCTTTCCCCCTAACTGTTCTTTTAGTTCTTGTTTGGTCTTTCCTTTAGGTTCTTCCACCCATCCTAAAGACCTATTCTCCTTGAACTATGCAAATTTAATGTTGTGTCTGTGAGAACGCATATTAAAGCTATACAGAGACGTGGTGATTTGCTCCTAAAGAGAAGCATACAGTGGTGTAAGATCCTGGAAACAGTAATAGTTGCAGCATAGAACTGGATGCAAAGTAATTTATGCAGCCTTCTGTTAGTTTGAAGCCTGACCATGTCCCAGAGTTACTGGTAAAAACTGTCAGGACTGCAGCAAACTAATTTATTATTTCCTTGCTACCAAAAGGAAGGTTCTATTCTACTCACGTGTTTCTTTTCTCTCTGTTTCGAACCTTATGCTGGTATAATTAGCATCTGGAACCCTCTGGAAACTGGCTTAGCTCTTTTAAAGGGCAGAACATTAACCTAGACAAAACACATAGGTACTTTTCTGCTGTTTTAGTGAGTTAAATGGGATCAAGGTAAGATATGTTGGAACATGTACAACAGACAGTGCTGGTCCATGTGATCAGGAGCCATATCAGGGATGGAGAAGAGCAGAGCAGGCATTCCGAGGGAGATGGAAGCAAGTTGTTAGCTCAGTTCAGCTACAGGTGAAACCCCATTCAGGTGCTCTCATCCTCAGTTAATGTGGAGCAGTTTAATTTGGGAGAAAATAACAGGCTGTTGCAATCATTGAAGTCAGTAATTAAAAGAAGTGTTACAGAGAGAAAGACTTGGGTTTCTTGCCTTAAGAAAGCAGCTTTTTCAGACAATATGGCTTCTCAATGAAACCTGGTACTGTGCTCATAAATGTTTTTGATCACGAGAGTCTAAAGTTAGTACTCTGTATCTTATCTAGATAAAAATATCCTGGTTTGCAGAGGTATTTAGTATACCCAGCTCTTGTGTGCTGCAGTAAATAAACCTGGAGAAGCTTGCTGTGCCTCTGACGCTCTCACTGGAGGCAGCGTGTGTGTGTGTGCGTGTCTGAGCGCAGCAGGAATGAGGGATGGGTGTGTGCAGCACAAAGCTGCCACTGTACATCTGCTCCTTTGTGCTGCTGCTTCCTGTTCCAGGGGGCTTGGCAGCAAGAGGACATTCTAATCCAGTGGTGGCCATTTGGTGAATGGAAAATTAATTACTGGTTGTAGTTTTATTTGCAGTGAAAAGTTGCCCTTGGCACTAGAGAGAGTGTCAGTCTTAATGATATTTGGGTTGAGAAGCCAAAAGAGGAATAGATATGAAAACTGTACATTTGTGTTTTCTCACACAATAACCTGTTCTATAGCCTGTTCCTTGTAAGAGAGTGTGAGGCAAGGCTGGTGTTTCTGCCTCTATTGCTGGTCAAGCTCCTCAGATTGTATCTATTCCATTAGAACTCTCAATTCCAGTCTCTTTTATGATCTCTGATTTCATTGTGTATGTTAAAAACCTGGTTTCGTTTACAGAGATGGCTTAATTGAGCCTGCCTTTGAATGGGTCACATGATGCCTTAATGGTGTACACAGAGTACAGTAAACATCTGAGGACTGATTGCTGCTAAGAACAAAACTAACCCAGAGTGTCTTTAAAAATCACACTTGAGTGCCATTGTTTTTGAATACCATAATGTTGTATTGTCTGCTGTCTGAGGTTCCTCCACAGAGGTTCATGTTGTGAGAGAAGTGTTTATTTCTTCTGTATGAATTAAACATATGATAGCTATTTCATGTGCTACTTATAAATTTTTAATTCTTCATGAGAGTCTATCTGGGACTGACAACAAAGTATCTGCAGTTAAGCCTGCTCATATTCAACTTCAGAAGTCATGGATGAGTGCTGCCCTTTCCTTTAAGCAAAATTCTGAGTGTACACTAAGGAATAAGAAGTGGAAAGTGGGGCATCAGATGTTCAATCACCCTGTAGATTTATTTGCCAATAAACTAAGTGTAACTGAAGTGCTAATTCAGTGAGATGCTTAAGTATGGACATAAGCTTATCCATATGAATAATGTTGTTGAAGTCAATGCAGGCTATTCAGGTTCTTAAAATATGTGGTTTGGGACCAGAGTATGTAACATCCTTCCTTTCATCCATATTTTGGGATACATTTCTAAATATTTTCCAATATGATCTTCTTTCTACTTCTCATTGTCATGTTGCTTTATATTGTTGTAATGATTTTGCTTTTATCCTGAACCAAACCAAACTGCTTTGTAAATCAAACTATACATAGGAGCTGTAGTAGCTGCTTCTGAGAGGAAACTGTATTTGATGGCTCACCATTCCTTGCAGCAGCTATAATGATAGGCAGCAAGGAGTATAATTTCCAGTTGAAACATCATGAAAGGTTTAGGCAGGCAAATATAATTATATACAATATGACAACCACTTGTCTTCCCAGCTGTTTCTTACTCTTAGGAGATCAATGCTAAAGGTACAGGATGACAGTTTGAAAGCTACAGAATTAGCCTATAAATCTATAGGATTGCTTGCAAAGTTTGTTATAGTGGCTTTTCTCTTTATTCTATCTTCAGAAATATCAAAGTCCCAGAATGATATGGCTGACAGATGTGTCCTAACCGCAGATTATGGGAAGAATGTGGAAAGAAGAAAGCAAAGAAGGAGCCAGTCTGACACTGCAATCAACGTTACAAGCAGGGTATCCATATTATTATACACAGTCTCTAACTGTAAGACTGTTTCAGAGTGAAATACATTTGTGAGAGCAATCATGTGCACAGTGGAATTTTTCTTTTATTTTATGAACAGGACATAGCTGATATTCACTGACTGTGGTCAGAACTCTGATTCCTCACAAGGTTTTTCACAGATTCTGTACAACTGATGTCAGCCCAGAGTTGAAATGTTAACTGGGATTTTTAACAAGGGAGGGAAGGATGCCAGGGATGGGACATTTTGCTCTCAGGTGCTCACAGATTCTCTTGAGGTTGAATTGATACCTGCTCTATGTGACTGTTAGACTGCTTGTCTTGTCTTCTTCCTGCCCCATTTCCTGTTGAACAGGGCAAGCTATGACCATCCCAGACCCATTGTGATATTTTCTGAACATTTTTTAACTTGTCAGGGAGAAAGCATTGCTGTTAGTTGCTATGCAACCTCCCTTTTCCTTTTGCTTTGGTTACAGTCTCTAGCTTTCAGTGTTTTCTTGAAGTTTGAGAAAAATCCAGTCAAATGTTTTCTTATGAATTGTGCAGGGCTGAAGATGATCTCACATTTTTGTTTTAGAGTTACCCTGAAGATTCTGTTTTGTACACTCTCAGCTCTCAAGTGACTGAACTTTGTCCATGCTCAGTTTTGCACACTGTGGTCACTTACTGAATTGCCTTGTCAGTCTGAGTGAGGTCAGTGTGGTTTGCTAAGTGCCTGGATTAGATGCTGAGAAAAGCCCTTGCTTTGGGCCAGATCTTGTGGCACACATTGCTCACAGCTCCCATGTGCACTTTTTCATTTTCCTCAGAAGTGTTGGGTGCTGATAAATGGAAGAGACAGGATGTCAAATTGCATGGACTGGGCAGGTTGAATTGGCCCAACAACATCTGAGAAGTCTGTGAAATTAGTTCTGGTATTTGTATATGCAAATAAATTATCAAGAGAATTGGCAACAATTATTGGTTACCTGAGTGCTGCTTTCATTGTGTCAAGCCACACTTTGGTATTAGTTTTATTCCACAGGCAGAGCACTGTCCCTCTAGTGCATTGAAAAACATCACAGTTGGAGGCAATGTGAATTCAGACTATGCTTCACTGCATGCTGATCACAATCAATCTGCCACATTTAAAAGATGGATATGGATTCTTTGGCTTAAGAAATTAATTAGTAGGGGAATCCAAATTATTTGTGTGGGTTTTTAATTGCCTGTTTAAAAATTTAGAACTTATGTCCACGATTTGCATTGCAGCTTTTGAAAAATAGGTTTCAGTGTTTCTGTGCCAGAGTGCTATTTCTCTGAGTCATTTGATCACTGGACTATATTTAAGCTTTTCAGCTAAAATTTTAGTTGTGTGAGAAGTAATGTTGTTTTGTTTTTTTTTTAATTGTGAATGTCCTTCAGCTTTGTTTTCCTTTAGAAAGGGAGCTATGCCTTAAGTTATGGGACAGAACCTGTTTTAAATTACACTTGCCAAACAACTAATTATATTTATAAGCAAATATCATGTTGAAATCTTGCTTGTTATGATTTTCACCCCAGAAAGAACTTTTGTTTTCAGAACATGAATCAGAAGAGTGGCTTTCCCCCTTAGAAACTGTTAAACTGTTTTTTTTCTCTAAGGAGTGACTGTGAAGTCGTAACTGTAACCACAAGTTTGAATTTGCAGTGTTTAAAACTAGGGCACTATTTAAGCCTCAAGGACGCTGTCTGTTTCTTAAGTTTGTTTTCTAAATTTGTGATGTGTGCAGAGCTTGATTCTTTTGGATTAAAATTGAAGGAGATTATACTTAAACTCAGTATTAGCGAAAAAACCAAATCCAATGGCAAGAAGTACCAGCCAGTGTAAAATCTGGATTTTGAGGGCCTCTCATCTTTAGAATGCCTAAGTTTACTAAGGAAGTGCAGCTATCCCTGCCTCACTGGGGAGCAAGCAGGCATGAGCCACCTTTGGGAGCTGTGTGTGGTGCATTGGTAGCTGTGGGTTACCTCTCCTGTGGCAACAGCAGCAGACATGAGCTGGGCTGGGCTCTGTGACCTGCTGCTGAGTTTAGCACTGGCAGCTGTGTTGCCTTGTCAGCCTCTTATGTTCTGTACTGCACAATAGCACAGTCTTTCTGATCCAAGTAGAAGCTAAAATTCAGTGTATTCAGCTTGTTTTGGTTAGCGAGTGAAAATCGCTTGTGTTTCAGGTTTTATAAAGCAGAAGACACTTTCTCTGCTAGGAAATAGTATTTTGGGTTTACTTGGGGATTTTTTTGAGACTGTATTCTGAATGCATTTTCTGTCTGTTTCTCTCTCACAAGGTAACTTAGTTCTTGCATCTGTTCTTAAGGCAGGGCACTTAATAGACATCACAATTTCTGTGTGCTATAGTAACAGCAGACTGGTTAAGATTTTGCACAACCTCTTTTTTTCAGAAGTAATCTCACTGAATTATCTCACCTCTTGTCCTCATTCTCTAGTGCTGTCTGCTGCTGTGCAGGAGGGATTCTTTCACATTTCCTGTTTCCTTTGTGCAAATAAGTCCTAATCCTTGCTATTGATTCAGTCACACTATATTCTTTTTAGTCTTTCAGGTAATCTGTTACACACCTTTTTAAAATAAGTTATTTTCTTAGAGCCTAACCATGTAAAATTTCTTACTTTGCTTTTTTCCTATCCATTGAGATGTCAACATACTTTTCATAGATTGTATTATCCCCAGGAAGTGGTGTGCCACAAACACCAATATTTTGAGCATATTTCCAGCCCTATGTATTTGTATTTCAGCATTTCATTCTATTAGCTGTTGTTCTTGGCAACAGAGGTGGCTGAAGATAAATCTCAAGGAGTTTTGATTAATATATATAGATATATAACTCAGAAATTATCAGGGTTTTCATGGGAAAATTGGAAATGTGAATGAACTTAGTCAAAGCAAAGTCAAGAACACCTTGGAAATTTAAACTTTTTCTATAAACAAAGAAAAGACAACTTGTCAGTCTGTTTCTATTTTCAAATCTCTTTCAACTTATGTTTATTCCTGCATAAGTAAATATGGGCATGTGTCATGCATATTGCAAAACACAGTTTTTAATTTCCTGGAGGCAAGATTATATTTTCTTCCAAAATTACTGTTTTGTTAAGGCTTAATAAGGACTTTTATTAATATATTGCTACTTTTGGTGTGTTATTAGTAGACTGCTGTTAGTAATTACTAGTGATTGGTTGTGACCCTTAGATTAGCTGGTGGTATGTTGATTTTTAAAAATTATTAATATAATGAGTGTACCACTCACTGGGTTGAGAGAGTTATAAATCAGCATTTAAATTAAGTTGCTACATTATCTTTGAAGGTGTGCCACTTGCATGACCTTAATCAGAGTCAGTTGTAGATATTTACTGAGTTTTTTTCTGATAACATTCTTGAATCAATCTTGAATTTAAGAAAAATTGAAAAAAAATTACTTTCTGAATTTCTTACAGATGAAAAGTACACCCAGTCTGCAACAGCTCATCACTGGGGCCCACGATGACAGTGAAACTCATAGCAAAAGTAGTTGCAAGGAAGAAGACATAATAACCAGTCCCACGAGTGATACAGTTTTCTGTGATGGCAAAAAACATGTAAGTTAAAGGTGAAGCCCAACACAAGAGGTGTTTAAAGGGAACTGATAGAAAAGCTTGTGCAGAATGTTGGTGTATTTTGGATTATATCATAAAAAGAAGGAAGAATTGCTCTTGACTTTGTTTCTGATGAAAGACTGATGCCTTTGACGTAGTCCTCATAGTAACACTGTGAACCTTTTGAAGCATGAGGCAAATTAATAATGGATAATTGATGCATATATCATCTACTGATAATGAATAATTGATAGAATAGCTGCTTCTGAATTTTGCAAATGCAGCTAATATTCTTCCCATTTGATTCTTAGGATTGAGATTATGAATGTTGTACTTTGTCACCTGGTATCTGGCTTTTTCTCTTCAAGCTTCATTTACCAGAAGGGTTTTGTCAGTCTGCAAGAACTGTGGTACTGGAAATGTCAGTGGAAATTCAAATGTCAGAATGCCAGTGAATGAAGAGGAAACTGACAGTGATGGAAGCCAGGGGAGCAGTTCACAGGCTTAGGGGATGACATTGAATCATCCTCTGTTGGATGGCATTTTGAGTACTGCAAATGAGAGAGAAGGAAGCTGGTTATAAATGAATTCAGCACAGTGCTTTAAAGCCTCTGTGATTAACTGTGGAAGCTAATTTCTATCTATTAGTGATGAGGTTAAGCAAGGTGAAGTATCCAAAGAATTCTTGACTGATCTTGTAAAGAAGGGAACTCAAATGACTTAGGGACTCACAGTTAAACCAGGCTGCTCACTTGACAGAGAAGCAGAAACATACACAGGGACCTGGGTGCTCTCTTGTAGTTCATTGCACTGGGGAGTCTGAGGTGTTTAGCTGACAAATGGAAAACAGTTTTGTGTTACATTTGTGATTCTAATGACAACCATTTGAGCTGAGCTGCAGAAAGCTCAAAATTCCAGTCTTAAAACTGGAATATTTTCTGCTGTCTTATAAAGGTGGAGGTCAAAATCCATTAACTTTCTCTTTATGGGTAATTGTTGGATGTTGAAGGACACTCCATAAAAAAATGTATCTCCCAGAACATCAGATGGCATTGCTCCCAGCCATGCCAGCAGAAGTACAATGTGTTAAGTCATTGCTAAATCCCTGCTTGCTGAACCTAAAGTGATGACTTCCACATAAAATGTGTGGGATGCCTGATCAGGTGGGAGACATATGTAGTGATATTCAGTCCAAACATCATTAATCATAACACCTATCCAGCCTTCCTAAATAAATAGGGTGTTCTGTGGAATACATATGAGGGACTTTCACAGAATTTTGTTTTGGGACAGGTGAGCTTAGGACAAAACTGTTTGCATTCCATTGCCATAATAGATTTTGGTGGAAAATAAACATTTTCTGGTCTGGTGAATAAAAATATGTTCAGGAATGAAAGTGCAGAGCTGAACAAAGCTGCAAGTTAGACTGATTACACTGATACAATTCTTGTGAAGGGAGCAACATTATTTGTGACAAGCATCAGGTCAAAACAGTCTTTTGACTTCCTCAGTAAGCACTCTGACCCTTCTTTTGACACGTGTGTGTTGCTTAGAGCTGAAAAGAGAGAGCAGATAGCCTCTTTATTAAATCCCTTGGTGTGAAATGAGTATTTGGCGTGCTGTACAAAGGAAGAAAAGCATCTCCACAGCAGGGAGATATGATCTTGCAAACACTGCTTTGCACTTGTAGCTGCTGGGTTGTGCAATGCAGAACTCCTTGGCCAACCAGTCCTGTGTGGGTTGGTGTTTATTTTTGGGGGGAGGGGTGATCTAACACAGATATCTTAGCAATCTAGGGCAGTGTTGCTGAGAAACTGATCACAACAGTGCTGCCTTCGTGACAAATACTGTGTAAAAAGTTTCTAAGGCTCACCTTGAAGAATATCATTATAAATGAATGGAGATCAAACTGTTCTGAGTTGATAATTTGTTGCAGTGAAGGCAATAGTGCCCTAGAGTTACATGTCTGGACTGAGCCACCCAAAGGATTGATCTCTTCCTGCTTTGCAGAGTCCTGCCTTCTGTCAATGCTGGACACAAGTGCTCTTTATATATGGTTCATCCACACATATAAAGCATCTAACCCTTTGACCCAAAGGTGGAAGTAACTGAAAGGAGAATAAAGTGGCTGAGCTCAGCTAGGGAACATCTTTATGCACCTACAAGCAACAGCTGGAAGTATTCATGTTTTAATCTCTCCTGAATGGTCTGCAATACAGAATACATAATTTTTATATGGAATTGGGACATCTTGTAAGGCATTTACTAGATGTACAGGCCACTTTGTTATTTCCTCTAGTGCATGGTAGAACCAAATGTCTTGGTAGTGTACCCTACTATGAGCAATGTATTAAAAGCAGTCTAATTCAATGGGGTTTTTTCATGTTTTTAGATTTCAGAGGGTTTTTTTACTCTCAGATACTTAGCCCATTTTTCTCATGGGAAGCAACATAGCAGTTTTATTCAGAAACAGTTTCTAGATCCAGAAGTTACTCAAAGCATTTTCTCAGCCTAGAAAGTTTACTGAAGAGAAGAGGGCAAAGCAGTAGAATTGCAATTACAGTTGTGATTTTCAGGTATGTTATGGAAGCAATGGAATTTTTTATACAGATTACTCTAAATTTCATGATTTGCAGTAGCTTTACAGTGATATCTGTAAAAATATTGACTACTGAGGGAAATAAATGTTTTGTCCTGTTTGATCTGAAGCTGCATTTACCAAGCATTTGTCTTTTCTTAGGGGAGCTTGTATAGTCTTAGCAGCACTTGCACTGAGTCTGGCAATTTTGGCAAGGCTAACATCACAGGAGAAATAGAGTTTGCCTTAAAATACAACTTCAAAGCTTGCATCTTGGAAATCTACATCAAGGGATGCAAGAACCTGGCTTATGGAGAGGAGAAGAGGAAAAAGTGTAACCCGTAAGTATTTCTGTAGAGAAGAAGGAACAAAAGGAAAACATTCTGGTTTTTACAATACTGATGCATGTTCTGAGTGAAATGGATTGATAGATGATTGTATGCAGTACTGGCACCTTCAGAAGATCCAATATGCACACCAACCCTTTGTACAGATGCACACTGCAAGACACATAGGCTTCATACCAGTTCCTGTTCCATTGTGACCATTTTCTGCTAGGAATTCTCTTTCCCTGCCTGTGAGCAGGCAGCTGGGGATGTGTGCTGCTGGTGAGTACCTTTGGGCCTCAGGAATAGCTGTTCAGTTTTTAATTCCTAAGTTGTGGCTGAAACAGGAGATGTCCTGTTTCTAATTCATCTGCTGACCCATTGTGGGTCACTGGGTGGTTGCTGTACTGCTTGGGTGCTTCCATCTTCTCTGATAACATTTATTCCATCTTCTGGAAACATTTCAGCTGCTACAACATATTTTTAAAATCTAAAGCTGTTTAATAATTATGCACCGTTGTAAGAGGAAGAAGTAGATACTTCTGTGCATAAAACATGCCACAGAAAATCTTGGTTGGATAATTAAGCCTTGGTGATTTCTCTGTTTATCACTAAAGAGTCCTCTCTGACAATGCAGTAACCACTGACAGGAGATGACCAGGTAGGGTCCCTGACTGCCTGTTTTTGCCCCTGCTGTCTCACTGTGTTTGAGCATTTGAGGGGCCTACATTGGAATTGTGGACTTGCAATCACCTTCACCTAGAAAGACAATGGATTTTGTCCAGATCTTGCAGAGAATGTTCATAAAGACAAGCTTGGTGATGAACAGTGCCTGGCTGGAGGAGCAGCCTATGGAGAAGGGCTGTTTGGAGCACTTCAGAAGTGGGTCAAGGTTCTCTAAGTCCCCTGGTAGTTAAGCCAGGCAAACAGTTGCAGGAAGCCTGAAAGGCAATGAGGGAAGTGCTGTGTAGTAAACATTATGTTCTCTATGGGTATATATTTATATACTTCTGTTGGGTTCCAGGCCAGATGAAAATTACAGCACACTTATTTGACATGCTTGCTGAAAAGCAGGCTTTTAACTGATGTTTAAAACCTGATTGATTAATTATTTAGCTTATTTGCTGGTTTGAAGTCTGGCTGGCTATGTTTTAATTAAAATGATCTGGGCTCACAGAGCAAGAAGCTAAATCTTCTAGTACCTGTATATTTTAGAAACTAGCTTTACCTATGGGTCAACTTGGAAAAAACAGGGAGTCTATGTAAGTTCTGCATTGATGATATGAGATACAGCTGATTTTATTTGCCCAGTAAGTTAATCAAGAGGCTCTTTTAAAATTCATTTAAATCATAATATCTGAAATATGTTTAAGTACAGTTTAAAAATATTTTGTGTTGTGTAAACAGCTGCTCCTTTCCCTGACAGGCTAGAAGCATTCTCTATTGCTGAAATTCTTTAGTTTTGAAGCCATAACACAAGTACAGGCCAGTGAACTGACATTAAGGGAAATATTTAAGTATTAGTGTTCACTTGACCTACACTTGAGAAACTTTGGGTATGAGTCATTGGTGCTTGATATTGGTTCAGCTCAGCTTCCAGAAATTTTTTTGGCTGATTTTTCTTGAATCAATGTTAGGGCAATTCTGAGCCCTTGAGACAATCTCCCATTTTTGTTCTAGTGGCTGGTAAAATAATTAGCATTTGTAAGACCTCTAAGTTATTCTGTATTATTTACCTGATGTGAAGATGAGATTTTTCTTCATGAATGTTTGGGGGACAAGTAGCAGTGATTCTAAAGTTGATTGAGTTTATTTTTTTTTTCTTTGAGCACATAATATGCTGTTTATTTTCATCATAAAGCTGTCACTACAACTGACAAGGTGGCTTCTTTAGGGGGCTGTTTTATCAGAAGCCAAGAGTATGACTAGAGGATTCCTATTCAGATCTTAATCTCTCCCCAGCTATAATGGAATTGAAACTCATTAGCTGAATGGTACACAAAGATAGCTGAATATCCACAAGGATATTGAGAAAACATATAAATAATATTCTGCCCTTTTATTGCTGGGGAACTTCCAAAGTCAGTAAAGTTGCTTAAGAATTAAGAAAATCTCCTCTCATCTAATTGTTTTTTTTCATTTGAACCTCCCTGCTCCTTCTGATCACTTTCCATGTATCTTTATCTCCAAGGTATGTGAAGGTTTATTTACTTCCTGATAAATCTCCTTGGAGTAAGAGGAAGACAGCTGTCAAAAAGAGCACAGTGGATCCAGAGTTTGATGAAACTTTGAAGGTATGGTTTGCAATCCCATGCTGCTAACTTGTGCATTTCCATGGTACGATCCTGCACATTCTGAACTGACTTGATGGGACAAATTTAGGAATCACTGAAAATAATAAGTCTAAAAATTATGGGTTTTCAGTCTAAATAAGAGAGAGTTGCTTTTGGAGCTGCAACAGTAAATTGCAAACCATTAGAGAAGTCTGCCTTTGTCCAAGAAAGTACTTTTAGTGAATACCAGTATTGGTCTGATTTACCATGTCTCAAAAGCAAAGTGTCTTCTATAGATGCTTTTTCTTGTACATTCAGAAAGTGGATGTATTGGAGAGCAAATATCCCTTTCAAGTGACACCCTTTGGTCAGTGCCACTTGAAGTGTCTCTCGAGAGTTAACTGTGTCCCAGCTGAAATCCACCATCTCTAAAAAATGTCTCCTTCCTTTTCCCTCTGCAGCTGATGCCAGGCTCTTTCTTTGTACTGTCTAATTTCAAACATTAATTATCCCAGCAGAGAAGAGTAGTTATGATTTCAACTCCATAATGCCTTTTAGTATTGCTTCTTGCATCCTTGTTAGAATTGTGTATAGGAAACAGGAATCATTATTCTTACTTCCCAGACACCTCATTAAATACAAAGCTGAGTGCTGTCAGCCAGGAGAGCCTGCCTTAGTTTGGTTGTTCCCAGCTTTCCCAGCTCCACTTCTCTACTCAGATCACTGTAAACCATTTTTTTTTGTGTGTGTGCTTTGGTAAGCTGCAGTAGGACATAAGATGATGAGTCCTTCAGTAATATATTGTCTTGGAAGAGATATGACACACAGTGGAGAGGCAAACTTGTGTTGCTTCTTGAACTACACAAAAGTTTCAGTGTTATCCCCAACTCTTGGTGTGAGTGAGCATCAAGAATCAATAGTGAGTGAAACAAGCAAAATGTTTGTAACGGCAATAGTTGAAGTTTGATGATAACATAAAAGGATTCTTGTAAAGTATGTGGGTTTTATACTGCCCAAAGCCTATCTATAGGGTTTAAACTGGCAGAAAAAATGGCCAGGAGTTGAAATCACTGGTCCTAATTTTATAGTCATTTTTCAATGCCAGTCATGCAGAAGTGATTAAGGAGAGTAAGAGCCATGCCTGAGCTGGCTGCATAAACTTTAAAGGTGTTTACTTGGAAATATTTAAAAATAGTTTAATTATTAGTTTATCCAGAGTATCAAAAATGGTCAAAAGTGCATAGCACTACTGCAGGTGAGCTCCATCATGACACTGACATCCAACTGGGTGGGATTCAGCTGCAGGTTAAGGCACCTGCATTTGGAGGTAGCTGCATGTGTGAGTGCCCTTGGGAGTCACTGGAGCCCAGGGTGACTCAGGGTGATGAGCCACAGAGCCCACACCCAGCTTGTGATTCAGCAGCCTAAATATGGGCACTGATTTCCTTGCCTGTGCCATTGCCTCCAGCTTTCCATGCAGGTCACCTGTGGGCTGGGTTTGGCAGTCTCAGGGGGTGTATTAGATACCCAGCAGTGTCTCAAAGGGCTCTAACTATGTTTGGAGAGTGGATCAAGGCTTTCATTAGCCATCAGCTGAATTACTTCCTTCCCTCTGCTGACTGCATTAAGTAGATGTCCACTGACCAGAATGGGAATTTACGAGCCATCATTAGGTGTCGTCTTCTTGAACTGGCTTCCAGTGCAGCCACATTCTGCTGGGAGTGTAAACAGAAAGATATATATATGAACATATATATGTATATAAATGAAACATGCAAACAAAAAACCTGAAAAACCAAACAAAAAACCCCAAAAAACCAAACTCAAGCAAACCCAAAATGCCCAAGACCCCCTCAAACCAAAAAAGAAAAAAACCAAACCCCAAAACCCCAGCAAAAATGGTCAAGAGTTATTTAAAGTTCTGAATTTATAATCCAAAACTTTAGCAAGGCAGGTCAAGGTATTCCTGGAATGTTGTTTCCTATTTGAATGGGCATTAATCAGCATGTGTAATATGTAGGTAGTTGGGTTTTTTTCAGGTTGCAAAGCACAGTCAGACAACATGGCTCTGTCTGCATCCAGGGGCCTTCAGTCATGCTGTGGCTGGGCTTCCTGGGAGCAGGTCATGAGCTTGGGCTGCATTCATCCTGGGCACTGCCCTGTAAATGCTGTTTGTCTTTCCAGTACAAGATTGAGCACTCCCAGCTGAGAAGTCGGCAGCTTCAGATCTCTGTGTGGCATGCAGGAGCTCTCAAATACAGGGTGTTTTTGGGGGAAGTGGTGATTCCTCTGGCAGCATGGAATTTTGAGGAGGACTCGATGCAGTTTGACTGGTATCCACTCAAACCCAAGGTGATTCCAAGTTTTTGTGCTTCATTGTACCTTAAGAGCAAGACGTGGTGAAAGCTGTGAGAAAGATCACCCTTATGAGATCATTGGGGGGAAGGTGCTGTCAATCCAGCCCATTAGAAAGATATGTTGGAAACACAAATAAGCTGTGAGAAGGATGTGAGAATAAGCTGTGAGCATGATTGCAATAATGCAGACTTCTGTGTGTCCCTTTCTTCAGCTTGAGAAGCCTGAAGATCTTGTCCAGTACAGTGCTGAACTCCTTGTGTCTGCAAGGCTGTCGGTACCAGCCCAGTATCAGAACCTCCAGTCTGAAGGTATAGAATGTTTTGGCATGCACAACTGCTTAACAGTTGCTCTGTGATCCTAATGATTTAGTTGCTCAAGATCCTAATTAACAGATCCTCTAATGATCTTAGAGGTCTTTTCCAACATAAATGATTCTGTGAATTCCTTGGCTAGAAAAGAATCCATCAATGAAGGACGGGCAAAGTGTCCAGGTATGGGTTTTTTAACAGCTACAGCAAATGGTGTTTTATATCTTAGGTTATTTAGAATCAAAACATTTTCAAGATTTTTATATTTGTTCTGTTTAATGCCAACAAAAGTTGTTCATTATAATGGCAGCAGTGTTGCATCCAGCTGTTTTCCAAACTTGTGCCTGTCATGATGTTACCAGTAGAGGTTATTCTGAGGGTGAAACAGCAGTTCTGCTGTCCAAGGCAGAGACTGCCAATTTGGGGAAAATTTGGAAGGGAAGCACCCTTGGCTTCCTCCAGTGGTCTCATCTTAGGGAGATTGTTTCACTTGAAAGGTGTTAGGTTCAAAATGTATAGTCAGGATTTAGTTTCTAGTAATGAAAACTTGTAGGTACACTAAGTGTTGCTGTAGTATGTTAGAGCAAGCACCTGCTGCTGGAGTGAAATAAACACTTTGGGAGGGAGGGATAGGAAAACCTCCTTTTCCTTACCTCCCTAGACCTCTGTGAGGTGTACAGACATTCAGAGCTCCAGAAGTGCTCTCTGTGTCAGGACCACAGCAACAGGTAGACACCAATGGGAATCTCTAATTAACTGGTTTGTTATCATTGTTCCCTTTGCTTTCCAAATGACCCCAAAGTTACCACCTCTGTATCTTCTGGTTTTCCTCCCTGTGCAGGCCTGTGTTTTGGGTCTGCTCTGTGCCTTGAGCTGTGAGTGGAGCAGTACCACACCATGGCTTTGGCTCTCTCCACTGCTTCTGACTGTTCCAGAGAAATGCTTCTGTGTGTGCTGCCCTGTATTTGCTTTTCACAAACACAACAGAAACCTTTGTCTTTGGAACAGGGACCACAAAGCAGCCTGCTACTCACTGCTTGGTTTGCTTTGTGTGTGAATCATTCACTGTACAAACATTCAAATCTATGAAATGTTCCTAGTCCAGCCTTATGACTCCTTATCTCAGTAGTGCCACTTAGGCATTCCCCTGCTTACTTTTAGCAGCATCTTAAGCTATAAGCTGAGCTAACTGGGCATTTCATGTGATAAGTGCTCCTTTTTCAGGAAACAAAGACCAAGGAGTTCTCAACTGCCAGCTTCAGGTTATGATATTTGGGGCCAAGAACTTGCCCGTGCTGAGATCTGCTGGAATGCTGAACTCCTTTGTTAAAGGGTATGTCTGAGACCTAGCACTTCAAATAGAGACTATCACATGTGTTCCATGCAAATGGACATATTAACATGTTTTCAGCAGGAGACTGGCATGGGAAAGTGGCATTGCCCCCAGACTTCCTGGAAATGGTGACACTTGGGTGTCTGCAGAGCAGCAGCAGTTTGCGGGGTAGTGATGGGAAAATAGGTGCAAATGAGGTTGTTGTCATAGTTTCAGCTGTGCCTTTGCAGAATTTAGTATTGCTCTGGATACATTGAAAACTTTTATCTTCTTCATTCTTGACATTTTGAAAGAGAAGGAACTGAATTTTTCTTCAGTGTGCTGAGTAGCTTGTATGTGGGATTGTTTTACTTCCTTGCTGTCAGGCATCAGATGCCACTGGAAGGATGATACTGGGGTAAACTTACGTCTCACAAAGCCATTTCATCTGTTGTGGCCCCCACCTTTGGTGAAATGAGTGGGCATTTCATCTCCCAAAAGTTTGGTTTGAGGCACTGGTGGGCAGGAGCACGTGGAGCAAAGACTCCTTCAGCAGTCAGTGACAGCAGAGTCAAAGCAAGAGCCTATTTGCACCTGCACTAAAGGCTGGCAGGAAAAGGTGCAGCTCCCAAAATCAACACAAGAGCACCCTTTATACCTTTCACTAAGGCTGAACTTTTTTTGCTATTTAGGGCAAACCAATGGGCTCTAGTTAAGCCCTCTAACCTCTATTTGGTTATCAAAATGTTCTGTTTTCTGCTTGAGAAATCAGTATCCTTGCTGAACTATTATTTTTTTTTGTGGGGGGGAAGTTGTCTTATCCTTCCAGACCAAGCAGAGGTAAAGCAAAAGTCTCCTGTCCTGAAGAAAGAAGCCTGTCCACAGTGGAAACACTTGTTTGTCTTTGATGGTGTCACCCCAGCTCAGCTACAGCAATCATGTCTACACCTGACTGTCTGGCACAAGTCAATCTTCAGCTCAAATGATCAGTTCCTAGGAGGAGCCAAGCTTGGTGCAAGTAAGTTCTCTGTCATTGAAAGTTGAATGTGATTTGGGGAAAAGTGCATTTAGTTTACATCCCAAGCAATAATAAATTATACTGTGCTATTTATTACCTGCTTTCACATGCCTACACATGCAATCCCAGCCTCTGTCCTAAGCAACTTTCAGTCTTGGGCTCTGATCATGCATGAATTTATACAGGTGCTTCTGTTCAGGTCTGTGCAGAAGATCAAGGTTGTCAGTGGAAATTTTCAGGAAAGCCATTTGTTAGCATGGTGATTTTTATGGGTCAGAGCCATGCTAAGACAAGCACAGAAATTGTGTGCTCTAACTCACACAGACCTCTAAACATTTTTTAAGACTTATTCCTTTAATTGTTTTCTATGAATTGGCTTACTTTAAATAACTTCCCATTAAAAAGAAGCAGGAGAACTGATCATCCCATAGACTCCAACCTTGCTTATGTCTGTGCTTATTACTTTATATCCACAAATCAATCCAATCAATGAAATACTGGAGGTGACTTACTCCAAAGGGGCTATTGGATGATGTTTGTCTAACCTGAGAGTGAGCTTTCCTTCTCAGGGCTGAGCAATGCCTGAGAAACCCTCTGCTCACTAAGTAGGCTGTGTTCACTGGTAGTTGAGTAGGGAAGCATTGTCCCTTGAAGGCTGCTCAAAATTGTTCTCCCAATGAGTTAAGTGCCCTAGGTTTCAGTATTTGAGAGGAGAGGGTCAAATGTTGTTTTGGTATCAGCATGCAGTTTACAGGAGTATTATCACTAGTGGTAGCTCAATGTCATGCAGTTGTTTTGCATGAAGTTGTTTTGCTTATCCTTATCCAAAAGCCAGCATTTGCCTTTCTGCTAGAGCAGGACTATCTGCTTGTAAGTGATCCAAGTCCTAAACATGGAATGAACTGAAGCAGGAGGCTTAGTGCCCTTCTGCCATTATGAGCATGCACACTTGCTCTTCTGCTTGTAGTCAGACAGCCAAAAACTTTTTCTTTGCTGCAGGTTGCACTCTTCAGAAAGTGCTCCCAGTTTAACAGGATGTAAATAATAGTTCCAAAGTATAAATCCCATTTATTGCAATTAGTGCCTCAGGAGCTACAGAACAGCTGAAATTACTGTAGAAGTGGGTGAAAGGGTTGGCCAGGAGTTGGGTAAGGCCAAGTGAAAAGTAATTCTGATTTTTCCTTTTGCTTTCTTGCAGAGGAATTCTTTGGCTCTATGGACCTTGCTTCTCAGGGAGTGCTCCAATGGCAGGAAGTGCTGCACAACCCAAACACATGGATGGACTTAACACTTGTACTGCATTCAAATAAGGAAAACTTTAAATCATGAGAGATTATCAGACAAAACCTTTCCTTTCCCATGTCCGATGTTTTAAACTGAAGTGGTACATACGCTTCAGTTCTGGAAAAAGTACACTGCAATGGAACCTGCTCCAGTTATTTTGGGAATAGAATTATGTGTTTGAACGTGTGTGACACTCTGAATGTGTTATTTCTTCAGAAGTTAAGGCTTTAGCCTTGTGTCTCTAGCTGGAGTGTAAGGATGATATTGTTTCTTGAGGAGTGACAGCCTCAGTTTGAGATGCATTATGCTGTCAAAGCAACAGGGGCCAGACAATGTGCAGCTTTCCATTTCCAGGCCTAGCAGAACTGTTACTATTTTATTTAAATCACAACTAGGACTACTTCTGAGAAAATAACTGTTGCAACAATAAAGTTACATTGTTTCACTCTTACATTGATGTGTTAGCTGCAGAATGCAAAACCAGCTTATCTTTGTCTGCTAGCTGCAAATGGGTGATGCTAATGCCTCTGTGCTTCAGCATTAACCACACTGCCACTTTATTTCACGCGATCCTAAAAAGCTTTGGCCTGTGGCCACGTCTCTCAAGTGTGTGCTATAGCCTGGTGCTTAGAAAGTTAAATGTATAAATGCCCTGTCAGTAGCAGGGTGGGACTACTGCCAATGGAATAAGGGTGGGTGTAACAAGTTCAGCTGCCACTGTAAGACAGAATTAACAGCTCTGAGCCGTAGGGTGTACAGCACACGACAAAAGTTTAGCTAAGTTTATCATTCCTTCATGTGGACAAGCTTAGGGCCCAACTCCTGTGTCAGTTTGCCTTGCCTTGGGTGTAGCTTTACAGTCAGCAGGAACTTCTTGTGTACAACTGTAACTTGTGTTGCTGTGTTATACTGTTAGTCCTTTCTTTAAATATTCCCCCTTCCTTTCTCGGTCAGTGTGGCTTTTAAGGATTTGAGATTTAAAACCACAGGGACTCATAAGCTAAGCTCAGGAACTAAAAGAGCAGAAGCACAACTTAATCAAAATATACCCCACACAAGAAACGCTCCACTCCATCGCCTTTGTTACTTTGCAGATCTTTTATTTAGATGGTTGCTGCTGCAAATAAAAAAACCCCACACAAGATTCAACTCCAGTATAATGCAGCATAGATATTGTAAATGAAGAGGTGACAACATACTGTATCTCACTTTCTAACAGATTTTCAAGGAAAAAAGGGGAGAGTAGGGGAAGGATGGTCACAGAAATGCTCTCTACTAGAGAGAATACAACTGTGATATAAACAAGCAGTCCCTTCATCTTTGGAGTCTGAAACTTTAAATCAAACATTTAAAAAAATTAGAAAATTTGTTAGAAAAATAGGTGCAGTAAAATTGTATATATTGGATCATGTGTACATATAACAGTTTTCATTAAGTAAAAAAAATGATCTTTACAAATAATGCTTTATAGTAAATAATCAGCTGCACTGTATCAGACTACAGTCTTGCTTAGGCATTTTTACAGATGCAAGTCTTATTAAATCTGAAAAGTAACAAAATATACAGAGCAGAACTATTTCCCTTTAACTAGTACTGCAATCCACATATTGCATGTTTTATATATATATATTTATAAATACTACACTACAACTGATCAGTAATGAAGCTGGAATGCAAACACAGTGGTGTTGTAGATTCCAGAATAATTTGCTACTTGTTACATGAAGAGGGTATCAGTGTCCCTATGCCACTTCTGAGCCATCACTGCACCATTTCTCCAGCTGAGAACAGCAACTAGAAAATATCTAATTTCTACACAAAGAAGTTCTGAGGTGTTGTCAGTTCTTTTGTGTGGGGGGGCAGGGAAGGGGGAACATGGGCATCAAGACCAAGGAAAAACCAGGATCTGCAAGCACCTGTGTGGGGATGTACAACACACACACAGGTGCTTGAAAATCCTGAGTTCCACAGCCTGTCTTCTCATCTGTTACACTTTACACTGTAGCTAATAATACAAAGACATATGGCACAAAATTCACCCACAGATGCTTATCTTTTAGACCAGGCTGAATCCAGCACCTGCACAGGACACACATCTTTAAATAGAAGCATGACCTGTTAAAATTTGTCTTGCTTACAGAGAGATGTGACATAAGGCCTTTTGGCACTAAGTAAAGGCATGAGCAAGTTACCAGGATCTGTGGTACAATAAGTTTTAAACTATACCAAATTTCACAGAAGGTTCAGAATAAAGGGGAGATTCAAACACCTCTGGGTTTAGAGAACATTGCTTAAGTGTCATACAGTGACCCCTCCTCAGAGAAAAAAAACCAAAACAAAAAACCAATACAACAAAAACCCCAAAACAAGAACACAGCATTAAGATCTGCCTTTCCCACAGTCCTGTCTTCTTCGTACGAGCATCTTTACATTGCCTCAAACTCGTCGATTCTCTGCTTGGTGTTGCCCTGCCGGATCTGCCGCAGCGTCTTGTACTTGTCCCGTCCCTGGCGCATGTTCTCCGAGTGGATGATGTCGTTCTGGGTCCTCTTGTCCTCGTGCCGGGCCTGGGCCAGCTCATCTGTCAGCGCCTGCAGTACACAGAGCAATAAATGCAGGTCATTGTGAGAAGCTCTCAGCTCCTGTCAGTCCTGGTCTCTGGGGAGAGCTGAGACTTGTGAATGCTTGGACAGAGAAGTGATATGGATAGGACCTGGCCTTTCCAAAACCATTATGGATGATTTAAGCAATCTCAAAGCTCGAGCAATGAGAGTAATTTTTATATACCCTGCCTTTACTTCAAGCTTCCTACAGGAACTGTAAACAAAGAGAACCTGTCGTGCTCTGTGTGTTTAACCAAGTGGTGAAATGACCTGCTCTCCAGGACTGTTTCAATTCCTCTGCCTCCTCCGAGCAGTGCCTTACCCTCAGCTGGCTCTGCACGCGCGCGTTCTTCTCTGCCTCGGTGATGCGCTTCTCCTCGTTGCGGTCGTTCCTGATGCCCTCGCTGGAGAACTCGGCGCTGTAGGCAGAGTACTCGGAGCCCTCATCGTGCAGGTTGTCGTGGACATGGTAATTCACCGGCTCATACACCGGGGGTGGGGGTGGAGGTGGAGCAGTCATCACCAGGTGTAACTCCTCCTTGGTCTTTACCAGATCCTCCTGGGCTTCCCTGGCCTTTGGGAAAAGAGTGGAACGTATTTGAAATGCTTTTCTTGCTTTAAATCAGCTTAATGAACACTTAAATGCTTATCTTCCTAGTTTGTTCCATCTACTGTGAAAAGCAAGAGAGAAAGAAATGTCTGCAGCTGATGGTTCTCTGTTATTAGAGAACTTTTGTTTTTGCTAGGGATGCTATCATCATCAGCCACTGAGCAAGGGCGTGTGAACAAACGTGCAAGGGGTCTGAGTAAACAATATTCTTCCAATAAAACAACACAGGAAAAAGTTCCATGGGAAGCTACAGTTATCATCATTCTGTTCTCCATTAGAAGAGCTGCAGGCTGGAGACACACCGGTTCCACAGAGCAAGAATTTGGGAATCTCATTTGGCATTTTTAGTGCAATTACACACCAGGCAGTCTGCTGCTGCTGCAGTGGTTCTGCCCTCCCCTGTGTCTTACATTGCACTGGGAGCAGCAGCACTCCAAGCCTTATGTGGTTTCACTGCAGCAGTTGATTAAACTCTCCTGATACAGGGATCAGGAAGCCACCACCAACAGCACGTGCCCCTCAAAACAGACACCTGCAGTGTGGCTGTTTTGCAGCATCTTCTCTTGACTGATGTAATGTTTTCAGACATTTAATCATGGATTACATGCATCATTTATTCATGTGCCCCCCTCTCTCCAAGGCTCCAAGACAATGATCACATTTTTAGGTTTTATACAGGTTTTCATTCTGACTTTTGACTGAAGGGTTGTTGGAAGAAAGGTGTTTTTGCAGACATATTGCACATTCATGACAAGTTTGATCTTTTTCGCTGCTGAACAGATGTTTGCTTCCACACGTTTGAGAAGTCACACCAGGCTAAGAACCACAGAATTTTAGAGCAACTGGTAAAGCAGATACTCACTCTGATTTGCCACTCTTCAACCTCACTCTCTTTACGCTTCCTTGCCTCTTCGAGAAGTGCTATCTTGGCTGTATACTCTGCAAGCTCTGTAGCCTGTTGAATAATAAAATGGGAATTACAGGGACTCTTAGAAAAAAGACCAACCCAACCAAAAAACCAAACACAATAAAAAATACTGTTAACTCTCGTAGAGACTGAATAAGAAACTAAGAACTAAAAATTAGATTGCCTATGATAGAAACCAGTGCCACAATGACAGCCCAGTACCTCACTGCACTGTTGTTCCCAGGACATGATGGCTTTGCCTTACTCAAGGGCACAGTAATATGCCTCTGTATCTTGTTCTCAAAATAGCTGAGTCTTACCAGCTGTTCCTGGCTCTTTATCTGGTCCATAGTTTGTCTCTCCAGCTCTTCCTTGGCCTGCAGGGCTGCCAAACGTTCAGCTTCCAGGCGTTCTGCCTCCTCCTGGGCCCGTTTCCTCTCCTCTTCCAGCTGAATGGCTCTTTGGATCTGATCTGACAGCTCTGCAAAGAGACAGATCAATGTGGTTAGTCCAAAAGTCTGCTCAAAGCTGAGGAACTTCAGTCTCTTAGGTAACTGCAGAAGTCATGACAGGACTTTATTCCAGCTTGCAATACTCCCTTCACTGTGCTCCTCAAAGTAATAATTTGCATAATACACCAAGTAACTGGATTCAGAAGTAGTCAGAGGCACATTGCAATTAAACCTTCTGAGATGTTTGCACTGAAGTCTGTAACACTGACATGATTCTGCTGCTGTTAATTGACATTGTGCTGCATGGACCAGATGTTGTGTTCTTCTGTGCATTGAAACAGAAGCTTCCATTTCACTGGAAAGATTTGTTCCCAAAGTATTTTTCTGTTAGGAGTGAGTAAAAAGTACTTGAGGGCTGAACTCCTGCTGACTGCTGGAAGTGGCTGTGCTACTTAAATCCTCCTGGCAACAGG